TGGGCTCAGGCAGTCATTTTGCTTCAGCCTTCCAAGTAACTGGAATTACAGGCATGCACTACCACGCCCAGCTAATTTTTTGATTCATTGTAGAGATGAGGTCTCGCCAAGTTGCCCAGGCTGTTCTCAGACCTGTGAGCTCAGGCAATTCCTTCACCGTGGCCTCCCAAAGTGCTGGGATTATAGACTTGAGTCACTGTACCCAGCATAGGATTCTTTTATTTCACAACTTTAAAAACATTGTGCCACTTCCTTCTGGCTTCATGGTTTTTGATGAGAAATCTGCTGTTATTCCAGTTTTTTCCCATAGGTAAGACTTCATTTTCTATAGCTGCTTTCAAGACTTTTTTGTCTTTGTTTTCAGAAGTTTAATTATGATGTGATTGACATGGATATCTTTGGGCTTATCTTAGCAGTTTGTTCAGATTCTCAAATCCGTATATTTATATCTTTCTCCAAATATGTGAAGATTTTAGCTGTTATATTTTTGAGTACTTTTTCCACCCTGCCTTCTTTCTCCTATTCTTTTAAGACTCTGTCATTTATGTTAGATCTTTTGTTATAGACCACAGTTTGCTGAGCTCTATTCATTTTTGTCTTTCCTTTTCTCTATTATCCTACTGCTATACAGATTCAGTAATTTCTTATGTTCTATCTTCCAGTTGGCTAAACTTGTCTCCATCTCTTCCATTCTGTCTGCCATTGAACCCATTCACTGAACTTTTAATTTTAGTTATTGTATTTTTGAGTTATTGACATTTCCATTTGGGGTTTTTTTTATATCTTCTATTTATTTAATCACCTGTATTTACTGAGGCTTTCTATTTTTTCATTTGGATCAAACATGGCCACAGTTACTCATTAAAGCATTTTTAGCATGGCTTCTTTAAATCTTTGATAATTCTAAAATTCCTGTCATCTTGATGGTATAATTTCTTGGTTGTCTTTACTCACTGGATTTGAGATCCTACTGGTTCTTGGTATGATAAATAGTATTTTATTGAAACTCAAACGTTTTCGTATTATGTTAGGAGACTCTGGACCTAATTTAAGTCTTCTGTTTTAGATGACTTTTTATGATACCACTCTGGCAAGGGAAGGGGATGCTACTTTATTACTGCCAAGTGAAAATAGAAGTTCAGTTTCCCTAGTAGGCCTCCATCAATACCCAGTGGGCTCATTATGACTGCAGAGCATGGGTGGGAGTGGCTTCATTACACTGAATGGCGGCAAAAGTTCTGACTCTTTATTTGGCCTCCTCTGATACCACCAAGTGGGGAGAGGATGGGTTCTCTCATTTACTGCTTTGTGGAGGTGGAAGTCCAGACTCTTTGCATGGACTCCACTGACATTGAACAGGTGCCTTGATACCTGCTACCTGGAATGAAAAGTCTTGACTCCCTGCTTAGCCTTCTCTGACATCACCTCATCAGGGGTATTGGGCATTGTGAGATTAGAAGTCTAGGTTCTTCACTAGGCCTGTAGGGGTAGAGGTGGGGCCAATTTTTTCTGTGGAATTGACTAATATAGTTATTATCTTAAAGTTTTCGATCTTGTTGTATTTATTTTCTGGTCTTTTGGCTAGAGTTAATAGGCTCTTGTTGGAACTCTTTTGTTTGTGCCCGTTTCTAGGTTGCCAGCTTCTACAATTTCAAGTCTGGGATAAAACTTAGGAGAACTCACCACTGTGTCGTTTTTTTCAGGTCCCAAGGGGTCCAGCTAGTCTACGTTGTTTTCTTCACCTTTTAGAATGTTTCATTTCTTTTACATACAATGTGTAGGGCTTTTAGGTGTACTTAGCAGGGGGAATAGTGAAACATAGATCTACTCCATCCTTCTTATAGTGGAAGTCACTGTTAGCTCTTTTTTATAGGATGATTCATGTAACCATAACTTGTAAAGTTTTGATGATACCACATGTATCACTTGTTGACTACCTCACAACCACATGAGAAAGAATTAACCAGTGTTCAAAGTCTGTCCCTCAGCCTTTCATATAGAAATTTGTTTTGTCATTCCCTCATGGTGATTGAATTCAAGAGATTTATTCAAGTTAAAAATACTGTTAAGAATATATTGTATACAAGCAACCAGTTTATTTAATTCTCAATGACTACAAAATATTACATGAGAATCAGGTAGTGTTTGGCTGGACAGTAAGTACATTCACAGTAAGTGGTACTGAAGAGAACTCAGTTAAATAGCCTCAGAGTAGCTTTATTTTGGTGCAGATTTGTTGTTTCCTAGTTTTCATTGTGTATACATTTTATGAGGAATAAATTGCATTTTAGAACAGTATATGGAGACGCATACAGCTCAAGATTTGTCTCTAGAAAATGTGAAGGACTCACTTTAATTCAAATGTTGAAAATCACCAATCTCTTAAAGTCCAGCCTATCTAGCTCTACAATAGGAATCTGCCAGGCAGACCTGACTAGTCAAGTTGACATGCCAAGACACCCTCACCCATAGACAATTATTGGATAAACATTGCTGGTTTCCTGTTTATCTTTACCTTTGATATTTACCTATGATTATCCTCTTTTTAGGCGGTTATTATCAGGCCTCAAGGCCCTAGGAACTGTTTTCTTTTTAGGGGAGGTTAATCTGGGCTCATGGACCCCCTTGCCTATCATTAGCTCCAAGTGGAAGTTCTGAAGTGTACAAGCCAATTTTTGAGAGCCCATAGTTTTCTCCTCATATTCTCAAAGGAGTCCATGACCCAAAAAATCATTATGAACCATTGATGTATATTTTTGCTCTGCTTCATTATGCACATATAGTTTAATCTCCTGTAAACCACTTCAGCTTATCATCTACTGGAGTGTTAATATTGTTATTGCCAATTTCTATGTTTTCTTACTATAATTATAGATATTAAAATGTGGTCTTTTTTTCTTAGTATTCTTTGCCTTTTGTCTATTATTTACTTACCTATTATCAGTGTATTTATATATATTTTTACTTTGACATGCAAAAGTCTCAGTATTTGAAGGCATGGCAATTTATTATCCTTTTCCTTTTCTCTTTTATGACTCTAGTCCTAGAATGTCCACAATACATAAATATTACACCTTTTCTGTTGTCTTTTTTCAGTCATTCTGCAGTCAGATATATCCATCTTTGTGACTTTAATGCTGTGTTTTAGGTTGGTGTATTTAACATAATGTTTTATACTTAGCTGGTCATTATATTCTTTTAGTAATATGACCTTGAAAGTTCTGTCAATGTGCAAATAAGTAAATATTGCTATTCTTAATGGTCTTTTAAAATACTTGATTTTGTGGACAATCTGCCACATGGGGAATTCCTCAAGCTCCATAGGTGCCTAGAGAGGCTAGATTTGCCATGGAGTTCAGTGTTGGAAACACTAGTGCCAGTGACTCCTGGCCTGCCTGCGATTGACTCAGATTTCACTTCTGTTACCTGTAAGCTATGCATTTTTGTGGTGATTTTGAAATAGTTCGCATAGCAGATTTTCTATACAGTTAACTTTTGAACAACTCTGGAGGTTAGGGGTGCCACTCTTCCCAATCCTCTGTGCTGTCAAATCCGCATACAACTTTTGGCTTCCCCAAAACTTAAAACTTAGCTACTAATAGCCTATTGTAATACATATTTGTATATTGTATGCAGTCTTCTTACAATGTATTCTTAGAATAATCTAGAGAAAAGAAATGTTAAAAAGCATAAGGAAGAAAAAATACATTTTTTAAAATTTCAAATTTCAGAGTCGGGGTCTCACTGTGTTGTTCAGGCTGGTCTCAACCTCCTGGCTAAAGTGATCTTCTGGAGTTGCTTCGACTACAGGCGTATACCACTGTGCCCGGCCCTGAGAAAATGTGGTTTCTGCTCATTAAGGGGAGTAGGTCGTCATAAGGTCTTCTTCCACATCTTCTTTACATTTAGTAGGTTGAGGAGGGGTTGGTCTTGCTGTTTCAGAAGAGGCAGAGGTGGAGGAGGTGGGAGGCAGAAGCAGACACACTGTGTGTAAATTTTATTGAAAAAAAATCCACACGTAAGTGTACTCGTGCAGTTCAAACCCATGTTTTCAAGGATCATCTATAATTATTCTAATGTGAAGAAATACTCAATCTCTTAAGTATCTTTGTTTTTAAATTGACTACTCACTCTGTTGCCCAGGCTGGAGTGCACTGACATGGTCATGGTTCACTGAAGGCTCAGGTGATCCTTCTGTCTCAGCCTCCCAAGTAGCTGGGACTACAGGTGTGCACCACCATGCCCAGCTAATCTTTTTGTTTTTTGTAGAGATGGGGTCTCGCTCGCCATGTTGGTCTCGAACCCCTGTCTCAAGCAGTTCTCCTGCCTCTGCCTCCCAAAGTGCAGGTATTGGAGGCATGAGCCATCATGCCCAACCAATATCTGAAGTATTTTAAATATACTGCCTATATTCTCTAAGTGCACTACACATGTGCTGTAACTAATAAACCTTTCTCAGTGATTTAAGAAAGTCTCAGAAGAATCCGTACTAACTAGGTATAGAGCATTTTTTATTTTAAAAAAAGGATAAAAGGAATTCGAATATTTAGTAAGTAAAGAATATGATCGTATTGCAAACACCCTTACTGGTTTTACGTATTGTCACGGGAGAAAGAGTAACTTACTATCAGTGGTAGTTACAGATATTTAACTCAGTGAGATTTCATTTCTTAAATATTACTAAAATTGCTCTTAATTTTCTGTACTATTTTTATCTTTTTAATGTAGTTTTAGGCCTAACATCATATTAATAATTGTCCTGTGTGAGGGGTACCCCCCCAAAACCCAGAATTGTATTTTGGAGGGCAGGCCCCTTGTAGTACAGGCTTCCCCTTGCTAGGTAAGTGTTCTAGGAACCCATTAGCATCAGTGTACCAGCTAGCCTTGTTGTGAGGGACAGTGTGCAGAATAAACGTCCCGAGTTGTGGCAACAGGCAACTGATTCTTCCACTAGGACAGTGCCCCTGCCCACACTGCACTGCTTGTTCAGTTTTTGCAGCATGATCCCAGTGCCCCATCCTCCCTATTCACTTGATCTTGCCAAGAGCAACTTTGTTTCCCCAGATGAAAAAGATCCTCAAAGGGAAACATTTTGCCAGTGTGGAAGAGGTGAAACAAAAAACGGCAGAAACACTAAAAGGCATCAAAATTGATGAGTTCAAAAACAGTTTTGAGCAGTGGAAAAAGCATCTTCTTAGGTATACTGCATCAAACGAATAGTACTTTGAGGGTGACTTACATTTAAACATGTAAGAATAAATACATAATTTTTTAATAAATAAATTACAGGGTTTTGGGGGGTCCCCCTCTCATATTTAAACAAGGTCAAACACACCAGAAAAATAGTAAATGCATGTATACACTGTTTGAATGGAGAAAGTAGTGATTCCAATATTTGCACCTTTTCCTGATTTAAGACATCTTAAACTGGTGGGAAATATACAGCGTATAATTTAACATGCATAATGAACCAAAAATGGTGATTTTTAAAAACATGTTAGTTTCGTGGGACAGCTAGGGATTTAACACCTTAAAAAACCCCACAGACTGCATAAATTCTTTTAAAATGTAATTTTTATTAATTTAATAGCTAATTTTCAGAGCAATTACTTAGGTATGTAAAATTTTATAAATTGGCAGAATAATTATAAAACAATAATGCAGCTTGTATTTATTCATTGCTTTTCATAGATAAAAATGATAGCTATTAATGAACACATAAAATCTGCATCTTTTCCAAATACTTGATTTTAAAAAGACACTAGTAACAGTAAATTCAACATCATTGATTGCAGGTGAATCCTTTAAAGGCAATTTCATGCATATCTGGGTTGCTAGAGGAGACCCCTCATACTTTTGTTGGCACTTGAATGTCCACTGTTTCAGTTCCCTTAGTAGAAAAGGGAGGGTGTTTGGACAGAACATTACCATAATAGTTTGGCACTGTGGTGACAGTTTGAGGTTATTTGGAAGATAAGATTTCTGTAAAGCTGAATATAATAGTGTTCATTGGTTCTCAATAAATATCTGTTGAATTTAATCTAAGACAACTTCCAAATTGTGTAGATGCTTATGACATCATAAATTACCTGGATTTATAGGTTTATTTATAAAGCACTGTTGATTTGAAAAATAGTATGGTATGTGCTTCTTAAAAGTCTCTCGTGGCTCCTTTTTTCTTTCTTCTTCTTAGCCTTTTTTATGGATTGACTTTTTTTCTTTTTCTTTTTCTACTTGTATCTTTTTTTAATTATAAAGATGTGGGGTACAATTCAGGGGTTAAGTATTGTGCAGGTACCCTTGTTGATGGGGTATGCCCCTCCCTCCCCTAGCAGTTTCTCTCAACTGCCAGTCCCTGACAGTTTCCCATTACTGCCAAACACTTTCTTCTAGTATTATAATTGTTCAAGGTCCGCTTATGAGTGGGAACATAGGGTACTCTGTTCTTTGTTTCTGTGATAGATCACTGAGTATGATCAACTCTAAATCTATCCAAGTTGCTGCAAAGTCCATATGTTTGTCCTTCTTTATGGCTGCATAGTATACCATTGCACACATGTATTACTTTTTTTTATCCAGTCCAGCTTCGATGGGCAACATGGTTGGTTCCGTGTTTTTGCTATTGTGAATAGAGCTGCAACAAACATACGTTTGCAGGTATCTTTTTTGTAGAATGAGTTGAATTCCTCCAGGTATATTCCCAATAGGGGAATTGCTGGGTCATATGGAAGGTCAATTTCCACTCTACCGTCCAGGCTGGAGTGTAATGGCATTATCATGGTTCACTGCAGACTTGAATTCCTGGGCTCAAGCAATGGATTGTCTTTTTTTTTTTTTTTTGCCTGCCTTTTAAATAATAGTATTTCCTAAGATTCTATCCTGGGGTCTCACATTCTATATTATCTAGGCAGCTTCATCCATTTCTATGGTTTCCTGAGCTGTCTTCTGCTTGAACCTTTATTCTCAACTCTAGACCTATATGCTCAATTATCTAGGTAATATCTCCTGTATGTCCCAGGCAGTCCAACAATGTGTTCAGCATTAAGCTCATTATCTCTTTCTCTCCCCATATTCAACACTTACCTCCAGAAAAAAAGGATATATATATATATCATTTACTTACTTCTGTTTTGGAAAAGAAGTAAATACTCTAGGCTACAGGCCTGAGACTTTTAAGTCTTTTGAATGCAAATTCTCAGATTAGAGTATACTGTGTATAACATGGTGACCATATCTTCTTCTTTTATTTATTTATTTTTTTGAGTCAGAGTCTCACTTGGTCACCCAGGCTGGAGTGCAGTGGCATAGCCACCCCAACGTCAACCTGCTGGGCTCTGGTGATCTTTCTGCCTCAGCCTTCCAAGTAGCCAGAACTACAGGCGCACTCTACCACACCCGGCTAATTTTTTGATATATTGTAGAGACAAGGTCTCACCAGGTTGCCAAGGTTGATCTCGAACCCCTGGGTTCAGGCAGTCCTCTTGCCTCAGCCTTCCGTAGTGCTGGGATTACAGGCTTGAGCCACTGTGTCCAGCCAATAAATATATTTTAAAAAGTGATATGACATAGGGAAATCAGATAATGCTTCCCTGGGAAGTGATTGAATTGAAAGGTGCAGGTTGAGTAACCAGGTGGGATTTGGACAAAGTGGTGAATGAAGAGTGACAGGTGAGACAGCTTGTACTAAGGCCTGGGGGTAGGAGCACTTGCTCTATGTATGAGCAACTATCTTTGTGCAGAGTAATTTGCAATCTTGTTAGAGATTTTTCCCTCCTCATTTCCTTCTTCCTTCTTTTCTCGCATCCTTATTTTTAAAAGACATTTGACACAGAAGCTTACATTAAATAGAGAATATAGAAAGCAACATGTAAGTGCTTTTTAAACTATGTAGTATTCAGTGATTTAAATGAAGGGAACTATGAAACTTAAGAGATAAACATAGCCAGGACTTACCTGAGACACAACACCAAAAAGAAAAAGGTTTTGTGGTGGTATTCTTTTTACTCTTGATACCTAAAGTCATGTTAGCATTTATAATCACTGCTCTGCTACATTTTGATAAACCAGGGAGTAACTAAATCTTAGGCAATACATTTCAAAATCTTTTCTTAAATTATGTAATTTCTTTTCTGAGTGCATTTTTTTACTGCGAAGTTTAATATTCTATGCAATATCTTTGTGTGCTTGAGAATTAATTCAGGCTGTAGAAATTCTATTAGAATATAAAGTGACTTTTGAACTGCACTGGAATACTCTCTGGTCTGTGCTATTCTGCACTTGATGACTCTGTTTATTCTTTTGTTCTTGATATGCATATGCATTATCCTTCAAAAGTAATTCTGAAGCTTTGGTTCTAAAACATTTCTTCAACTGCTCTTACCCAGTTCTTGAATAGGAAAATTGTGTCTCAAATGCTAGCTGTTTTAGAATCAGCTAGATTGTCTTAAAAACCCAAGCAATTCATTCATGTTTTCCACATGCTTTGGTTCTTTGTTTTGTTTACTTATGTTTTAATCATTCCTTATCATGGTTCAGAGTTTAGTGTTCATAATTTCTTTGTGGTGTCATTAAAAACTTAGTTTTTATCTGTTTTTCTTTGCAGAAAGGGCTATTGCAAGACATGAAGTCCGAGAAATTGAGCAGCGACATACAATGGATGGCCCTCGGCAAGATGCAGCTTTAGACGAGGAAGAGGACATGGTGATCATCTATAATAGAGTTCCCAAAACTGCAAGCACCTCATTTACCAATATCGCCTATGACCTGTGTGCAAAGAATAAATACCATGTTCTTCACATCAACACTACAAAAAATAATCCAGTGATGTCACTGCAAGATCAGGTAATTACCACTTAAGGAATACTCAAGTATTTTCTGGTACTTCCTCACTCAAATTTTCTATCTCAAGGGATTACATATTTTTAAGGGATATGTGTGCTGAACTCAGTGAATTATAAGCATCTTAGGGGAAGGGACCAACCAACTTTTGTATAATTTTACTTCACTGCATTTGATGCATTCCCTTGCATATCATATGTATTTTCAAATATTTGTGACGTAAATGCATTAACGAATATCTTGAATTTTGAAGAGAATATTGATGCGACTCTGTATAATATCCTTTGAGAAATTAGAAAAAAGTTATCTCCATAAAAATTGAAGGATGTGGGAATTCCACCCCAGGAGATGATAGTGTTTGAAAATACTATTTAGGATCAAATACCATATTGGAGTGGGCTTATTAATAAGTTATTAGTGATAGTTCTATATTTATAATGATATTTATCTGTTTGAAAGCAATTGAATTTGTTTGCTTACTGAGTTTACTGTTATCCCACTATTTAGCATAACTATAATCCTTACACTGAAACAAGAGAATAACATTGATACACAAGATAAAGGTTGGATTTCTTCCTATAGAGCTGTTTGTAAAGGCTACATGGCATGTCATCTGCCCATAGAATTCTTGGTTCTCTGCAAGATCCTTGAATACTCCTTTTTGTAGAACAAAAAATCTACATCTGTCAGCCAAAACAAATAACTCTTCTATAAATGAGAGGATACATGAGCTTTTTTGGCTAAGTGGGTCATAAAAACTATTCATTATGTAATATTGTATATCCCAAGGGCTAGTATCCTAAATATTCTGGCTTTATACAGTGTGTAGTAGGTTTTAAATCTTTTTGCATTTTTGCTTTTCAGAGTATGCCTTGGCTTAAAAGGAGCATTAATGCTTACATAATAATATCAGATTTACTCAATAGTATTTTTTAGAAAAATAATGTTAACTTGTTTGCTTAATGTTAGTGCTATTTTGTATACAGTATTACAAAGTTTTTTGGCAACTACAAGATGACTGACAATGACATCTACCATTTTTTAATGAAATATAAATCTAGAGGATCTCACCACATGTGACATTTATAGGCATCCTGTAGTAGTATATTTTCCCAGTTGCATTTGGATGAGAAAAAGCTCCCATTTTCCTTTCAGTAACTTATGTATAGGAAAAAAAATAGCAGAGGAGAAGTATAAGTGCTATCATAAAAGCAATTGGATTACATAATGAGCAACACTTAAAATATGTTTATGTGGGACAAGTAGAGGAATAGTCTTAATCATTAGCCAACATACTTCAGAATGTCAGCTGGTAGATCAAAACCTGGTCTTAATTAAGAGTAACTTATATGGCTGGGCTCAGTGGCTCAGCCTGTAATCCCAGCACTTTGGGAGGCCGATGCAAGTCGACTGCCTGAGCTTGCGGGTTTGAGACCATCCCGGGCAACTTGGCGAGATCTCTTCTCTACAGTAAATCAAAATTAGCCAGGTGTGGTAGTACGTGCTTATAGTCCTGGCTACTTGGAAGGCTGAGGCGGAAGGATTGCCAGAGCCTAGCAGGTTGACACTGGGGTGGCTGTGAGTGTGCCACTGCCCTCCAGCTATACCGTATCCACAATTGATTGGTTGCTCTATGTAGAAGCGGTTCTACAAACAAGTCATATTTACTGCTTTTCCCCATCTTTTGTGTGACTTTAGCATTTTTATTGTGCTTTAGTTTAGTAGGCTTCATCTAAATGTAAACTTGAAAATTGTACGATATTCCTTGAAATTAATTTTTAAATGTTTCCTGAGCCCCATCCTATATAACACACTCTTAATTTCATATTTTGTTGTCTTTGTGTACTGCTCTCAGCTATTTAAATAGGAATTAAATGACCTCTTTGTTCTTCTTCTTGAAGAAATCATTTCCAATCAGGGTCTGACTCAAGTGCAACTTAAAAAATGAGATTTTTATGAAATCAGCTTTTTCCCAAGTTTCCATTTTTACTCACAAAAACATTTTGGGCTATACTAGGTGCTCACACTCGTTAGTCCCTCATCTTCCAAGCTTCGGTTCAGTCTGCTTGATACCAGCCTTTAGCCCCAGCTTTCCCAGGCATACTTTGTGCACACTGCAGTAGGTACTGTGATAAGCTGCTTACATGCTTAATTACTTCTCTCAAAAATCATAGAAGCAAAGTCCAAACATTTTTAGTTTGGTATAAAACCATTCAATGTGTAATAGCTATATATAATCTGCTATTCGTAAAATACTTGTCAGTTCCGCTTTCAAGTTATTTATTTATTTATTGAGTTTGTAATATATACAGAAATTGTGCTACATTCTTTTTGGCAAATACCAAAGAAATAAAAGGTAAGACCACATTCTTTTTTTTTTCCATGCAGTTGGGACTACAGGCCCCAATACACCTAGCTAGTTTTTAAATTTTCTGTAGAGACAAGCTTTCTCTATGTGGCCCAGGCTGGTCTTGGACTCCTGGCCTCAAGCAGTGCCCCTACCTTGGCCTCCCAAAGTGCTGGGATTATAAGTGTGAGCTACTGCGCCCAGCCAAGACCACATTTTTGAAGAAGTTTATTCAGTAAATGTATTGTGAACATAAAAGAAAACATCAACTTTTAATAATCTTACCAAATATTTAACCAAAAATATCTCTTACCAAAATGTCTAATCTGGACCTAATCCTGAGGAAACAAACTCGTATTGTAAAACATTCTACAGACCAGCCATCCTGGACTCTTCTCAAGTATCAATGTCATGACAGCTAAAAAGGTGGGAAGGGGACTTTTTTAGACCAGAGAAGAATAAAGAGACATAGAAACCACATGTAATGTATGACCTATGATTAGATCCTTGATCAAAAATGATAATGCCAAACAGGGTTACCTGCACGATCAATGTTTGTATACCTAGCCCTGAATTGTACCTCACATCTTTATAATAAAAATTTAAAAATGAAAAAAAAAAAGATAATGTCCTTGTTTATTCTTTCAGGTTTTATGTAGTTCAGGAATTTTTTTAAATTAAAAAAGTTGGAGTAAAAGAAAATGAAAAGTTAAAACAAGGATATCAAAAGATAAATATTTGAGAATATAAGGCATGATGAGAAACAAAGCAATTAGAAGAAGATGAGGACTCAGTCATGAGAGTTACGTTTTTGAAATGGGTTTTACTCAGTTGATAGATAGGAATTGACAAGAGAAAGGTAAATGAGTCAGCTCTTCTAGCTGGGAGAAAATGGAGTTTTCTCTCCATTTTCACATAATCACAAAAATGTTTTTACATTAGATAACATCTTATCTGTAAAGTAACTATGCCCAATAGTTGTGATTGTCAGCATCATGATCTTTCTCAATTATTTTCTGCTTTCGTGTGTTTTGGTATAAGATTATATTTTACCCCTTTTGTTAAGACATTTTAAATACCTAGGTTTTATATTATCTGTAGGACAACACAGTAATACAAACTTTTAATTTACTCTCTAGTCAACTTCTGGTCATTTGCATTAGTGCTCACAGTTCACTATATGTTGCAAATACTTTTCAGAGCAACACTTTAGATGAGTGCTCTCAACCTATAATGTTTATGCTAATCACTAGCCAAAATGCAGATTCCGATTCAGAAGGACCAAGATGGAGCTTGATATTCTAAATTTCTAAAAAGCTCTGCTCATGCCAAATGTATGTTGCTGGTCCTTAAACTGCAGTTGGAGTAACAGAGATCTAGAACATGAGTCTCTGTGGGGCATGGGAAAATGAATATTATAGTTTTCCCAGGACGATAGAGTACTTATCTTTAGTATTCCTACCTCCCCTACAAAATCCAAATTCCTTATGTAAGCCTAGAGACCCTTTTTAACCTAGCCCTTGTTTGTTGCTACAACCTCTTATCCACTAGCCATACCAGCCTTGTGATTCATTGAATGCACCTAGTCTTTCCTACTTTAAGGCCTCTGCACTTATCATTTCCTCTTAGAATGCACTTTTCCCACAGTTGGCTTTCTGTTATCCATTTAAATTTTAATAACATCCTCTTAGAAAAACCTTGCCAAGGCATCCCTATACCTCTTCCAAGTTACTGCATACCTTCATTACTCTCTGTATCTTTCCTAGTATTAATCAGCTTATGAAATTATCATATATAAAAATACTATCTGTCTTCTCCTCTATTATAAGGTCTTAAAGGACAAGAACTTCGTCTTGTTTACCACTGTGTCCCTTGTGCTTAGAGTGGTGCCTGAGACAGTAGAAACTGTATAATTTTTCTGTTAAATGAACAAGGAATGAATGAACAAAATAACCAATTTAGATTCTGATAGTAGTTTTAGCTGAACATGACCATGATGATAATTACTGGCAGAGCGAGCCCCTCCAGCTGGCAGGAGAATGACCTGTCCTTGTCTCTCAGATGATATGGGAATCATCCACCACCTTACTTCCCCCCAAATAGGTTGGGCAACACATCTTTGTACTTAAGTGAAGATATGTTCTCTTGCTACTAAACTACTCTCATATTTTTAGCCAACCACTACTTAGTTTTCTTCTTAGTGTAGAAAATGCCTCTCTTATAAAAGTACCTACAGCTGTACAAGACAGTTTTTTAAGTAAATGCATGAGTAGGAGTTTGGTATATAGTAATTACTCAAGTTAATAGTAGTATTCATTCAATAGACAGTAATTACAAAGGTGGAATTTGGCCAGGATGTTCAGGATGACATTGCTACCCTTTCAGGTAGTGAAAATAAGTTCTTTTGTGATTACGGTTAATCATAATGTTGAGGCTAATCTCTTAAGTATGTAAGTCCAGATGCTGCATTTGGTGATATAGTGCTTTCTTAGCTTTTTCCTGTAGCACCAATTCAGGTCTGATTTACCTAACATATAAATCACAACACCACTACCTATACTGCTTGTATTTTACCTACAGGTCTTTTCTTATTACTTGTTAGCTTGACTTTATTTGAGTTATATAATGTGACAAAAGTCACAGTTTAGGATCTACT